GTTTGCATTTTGAGCTTTCTGTGAATATTTCTCACGTTTACAGCTGAAGTGAAAAGTTCACAAATATCTGACCTTTAACAAACTCAAAACATTGCACGCAAATCAACAAAAGCAATTAAAAAGGGTATTTATTTTTATCAGAGAGGTGTTTACTGAATTTGTTTAAAATTTAAAAAATGAAGAGATCCTCAAATGAGTAATCTAGAGTGACCTGTTCTGCTTCTTTTCTTGTTTTTTGTACTGACAGACTCGTACGTGACTACCCAGCATGCTTTGCCTCAAAATATCGGCCAGTTTGAGACACCAGCACTTCCTCAGCCTGCGTTTGACCAGCAGGCTCTAACTCAAGGTACAAACACAAGCTGATTCTCTGGATGATGCTTAAAGCTGTGCTTTGTAGCATGACATCATCAAGGATTGGAGGAGAAGATTTTGAAATTTGAACATGCTTTAGCTCCCCAGCCCGTCACACCTCATTTTTTAAGGAGCTGAAAACCACACCTCACACTGCACACTGCACACACACACACACACACACATACACACACACACACACACACACACACACACACACACACACACACACATACTGGTTTCCATGTTTGATGGGGACCAAAGTTAGGATCATCAGTTGTGGGGACCACCCTTTCTAGACGTTTTAGAGACTTCAAAAAAATCAGGTGAAACAACCAATGCACCATTAGCCTATACACAACTTTAAAATAATGAAATTCCAAAGTACCAACAGGACCATGTTTTATGGGGACACATAAATTAACTGATTTTCATGGTTTATGGGGACATATTAGCATCAAATTAGCATATTTCACACACATATGTGTGTACCTAGTGGGGTCCTTGAAAACATTACCTCATGGGGACAATGAAAGAAAAATGTTAAAATATCCATCAAATTTAGATCTCAAGCAAATGTTATTCTCCATTTCACAACCTTTCTTAGAAGACAAAAAAATCTAGCCAGAGGGGCTGATGGTTCAAAATGTCAATCAGCCTCAGCAAGACACTTCACCTAACTTAGCCATCTTGATGAGACTGTCTCAGGGCACCAGCGACTACATAGTTTATCCAACACATCATGTGGGAATGTGTGAGTGCATTATTAATGGAAAGCGAAGTGCTGTATAACTAACCCATTCTTATAAACCATTCATTTTACCATTAGGTCAGAGTACATGTAACCAATATAAAAATAGTTAGTCATGGAAATTAAAAGGACAATAAACAAAGCAACTGGTCAAAACATTTTAATGATGAATCACCAAGACCAGAAACCAGGATCCACAAGTCATATAACTAAAGCAGGCCCCAACTGAAAAAATTGTCATTTAAATAAATAAAACAAAGTTGATGCCACTTTCTTTCAAACGATTATGTTATCAATCTTTCTGGAGTTTCATGAAAGAAAAAATACAACTTGGCATAAAAAGATTAACTAAAGTGTCCTTTTTTGCAATGTGTATCATATACACATTAAACAATGGGGGCTGCTGACCTTTTCACCAGTAAGTCTTTCCAAGAAAAGCAGTGAAACTTGGTGAAGAACAGAAAAGCTGTCAACAGGGCCTTAATGAAGATCACTAAAGGACGAAAACCTAAAAACAGGTCAAGCAAAGCATGTTTCAGTTGCCCATAGCTAAACAGCTAAAGTAAAGAGGCTTTTTAAAAGCTATTTTTGCTGGAATTTTCTTTTGTTCGCCGTTATACGATTATAAATGTAGAACTTAATGTTTTGCCAGCTGCGACTTTTAAGAGCAACAGGTTCAGCCTTCAAACATTTCTCACAGTCATTCTTTGCTGGCACGGTGCAAGAAGTGATAAAATGATGCATGGATCTTTCCACAGCCTGCACTTCCGTAGGGTTCCAGGAAATTCTTCTCTTCACAGGAGCTATGCCTGAAAATAGTGGGGAAACAAAAAAGGCTTTTATTATAACATCTGGGGCTAGAAGTGTAACTAGCCACGGGCTAGTATGAAATCAAGATGGAATAACTTTAAGCTCAAATATGCAAAACTCTAAAAGCATACTGTTTGAACAATCTCCAATTTAAAAACTGCTTCTGACTGAAATCACATGTAGCTTTAATGTTACCTCCAATTCACAATGGGAGTGCCTGTGGTGCATTACACATCTCTGCTTCACCGTCTATTCTATGGTTTGGCACACACACACATGAAATGTTTCAGGCGCATCACAGAAACCTGTTGCTGTGCTGCTAAAGATAGCATTGGGTTCTATTTTTGTCACAATAAATTCCTGTGACGCATCAAGCTCAGCAGTATAGCGCTAGACAGGAAGTCTCACTTAATCAGTGTAAATCATCTAGTTATTTCAAAATATGACTATTGCCAAGTTATGATTCCTCAACTATTTAAACATTGTGTAACTTTTCGTTGACCAAACAGCTTATTTGTTTTCTGCAGGAGAGCACTGATGGATTTTTCAGCATGGATGTGAACATGATTATTCTGATAGTGGAGAATCACATTATTTATAATACCACAAGTCAGTTTTACAGACATCACTTGTGAGTTTTAAAAGATGTAAGAAAAGTCGTTATTTTAAAGTATTCAGAGTTAAGTCTCCGGTGATTCTATTTCATGTACTTCCCACACTGACTAAATATGGCACTCGTTAACATTTTGAAGTTCAAGGTTGAACTTGGCATTTTAATTTTAAAGTCAGAATAAATATCAGTGGCCTAAAATACCATCTTAAGATTGTGAATTTAAAAAATAAATTAAACAATAAGAGGTTTAAATGAAACATACCAAGTCCATGAAATACTTCTTTGTGGTGCATATTCCCAGTCACCCTGGACTTGGCAAATACTACATGAACATTTCAAAAGGCCATTTAAAGTTGTGGTCATTAGGATACCACAAGGTCATCTTAACACAATGGGTAAAGGGTGGGGGGTTTCGGGCTGCCTAATATAAGGGTTTTTGCTTACACGGTATTATGCTATAGCTTTTTAAAACATTTATTAGTTAACCATGTACAGCAGTGCAGTAGCACCATGCAACGTTACCTAGATAAACTATTATTTATCAGTGTGAGAAAAAAGTGTCTTGAGAGCACATGAACAGCACATTCAGAGAAAATGTGTCTCCTGCTCATCACGTGAGAGTTTACAGCCATATGTAAATCCACTTCAAATATTGATTTATTTGAGGGCAGCAGTGGCTCAGGAGGTAGAATGCGTTGGCCAGACAAGCAGATCTGCGCAAAATGGCAGCCTCTCCTCTGCCAAACCGCCCCAGGGCAGCTGTGGCTACATAGTACCATCACTGGCAGTGTGTGAATGTCAGAATGCATGAATGGAAAGCTCTTTGGGTGTCTTGAAAAGTGCTACATAAATCCAAACTATTATTATTATTATTTAAGACCTTAAGACTTTTAAGGGTCTTAATTTTTCTTTAATTAAATTGAAGACTTGACTTTTCAATACCCTACGCTGTCCAGCACCCAATGTTGCGTCAGCATATTCCTGTCTATGGTATTGCTAACCTGCAGGAAACATTGTTGACAAAGTTATATAGAAAGTAGCTAAGAGTTACCAGAAATGTCACTAGGTTGTTTGCTAGGCATTTTGGGGGAAAAAAGTCAAGAAGGGGGTCTGGAAAATTTGTTAGAAATAGTGGCAAAGTTGCCAATTTAGCAACACTGAGTAGAAGGTGCGCTAGAGTTGCAACTTTGAGTTACCTATGAGGGAGAAACAAATAATCAGCTCATTTTTTTTTTCATAATAGTTCAAGATCCATATTCTGATTGAGATGAAAATTTTATTAATTGAACAGACCTACTTTGAACATAATTCATTAATTTAGCAGTGAATATTATTGCAGAACTTCAATGTCATTAGTCACTTATTTGAACTTTGGATCTAATCTACTCGTCAACCAATGGGAATGAATCTCTTATATTCATTTGCGAAAATATATTATTTATTCATATATAATACTTATTATATTATATAAATAATAATATAACTATATTATTGTAATTAATTATGATGAGAAAGGTGAAATTGCAACACTTATGTATTTCCTGGAATTCATTTAAGTTTAGTACTTATTTTCTCAATAAGATATGTTCAATATTTTATGTTCTTATGACTGCTGTTTCATTTGTTAAAAATGTGTTACTTTCATTTTCACACCAGCATTCCATGTGCAAAAAATTGACCATATTTTAAAAAGAAAATTGAGCAACCTTTTGAAGAGGATGGAACTTCCTCATCTGATGAGGGTGGTTTACGTTTCCTGGACGGCAGTGGTACGGTCACATTCTTCTCTGGAGGAGGAATTGCTTCCTTTGCTGATTGGCCTGTTAGAATAAGCACAATTTATTGGTTGTTGAAATTACATCTTTCTATCCATTCATACATCCATCAACACACCCACAAACTGTGGCATTAACAACTCCTACCATCAAAATTAGCTGAGGTGTTCACTTCCTCTTGAGTCTCATCTTCCTCATCAGTGTCCAGAATTTTTTCTGTTTAAAATACAAATTATAGCTCAACTAATAAAGAAAAATAAAAAAACAAACAAATTAAGTATTTTTTAAAAGAACATACCATCAGGCTCTATTTGAACCTCATCCAAGTTTTTACCATGAAACTCAGCTAATCTTCCTTGTTCCAGAGCCATTAGAACTTTGCTGATTTTGGCAAGTTGCAGAGTCTTCTCAGGAAGTCGGTAAAACTCACGATGAATTCTGATGTCGTGTCCAAGAAAGTTGGCCAGTTGATCCATCTGTGTGTCTGTCATGTTCAGGACCGTTGAAAGTGTTGCAGCATGTTTTCTAAGTCTGGTTGATGTCAGTGACTTTGAACACTTTGCCCCACAGGCTGTTGCAAAAACACGGAGGCAATCGGAGCCTCGAAAATGTGTCATGGCCTCTGGTCTTGCGAACATGTAAATGTTGTCTTTTAAAACTCCACTGGTATCTCTCTGCTTAATAAGAAGTTCCAATGAACTAAGCATTTCTTGCGTAAGGAGAATTGGAACTGGTCGTCCTCGCTTTCCCCTTGTGACAATTCTTGAGAAGTATCTGCAAAGTTTTTTCTCCACTTCAGAGAGTGCCCAGTCGATATCTTCATGTGGATCAGAGGTGTCTCTTGATAAAAATGCAGACAAAGGCATGCTAGCCACCTCTCCTTCCCTCCGGCGATTGAAAAGAATGATCTGAACAAGACAAATCTTTGCCAGCTCTGTCCAAGCTTTTGTAGATGGACATTCAGAGAGTGTATTGTACCACTTATTTTGAACAGCATTCAAATGCTTGTGCAACTTCTGGACATCCTCAGTGAATGGCATGAGAGT